CTGGTCCAACGGTCATCACGATTACGATGTCGATTCCATTGCACGGGCTAGCTAGGCATTTTACGTCACTACGAATTTAAATCAAAATCGATTGCAAAGATGCATCCCAAGACGGTGTGATTCGAAGCCAAAAAGAACTCTTAAATTCCATCTTTTATAACCAAATGTGCTCAATCATAGGATTCAACCTGGAAACGGTAGAATATCGCAACGTCTCGTTCACTGTATGGGATGTTGGTGGACAGCAGAGAATCAGGGCTCTTTGGAAGTACTACTTTCGCGATACCCAGGTTAGTGAATAATGCCAAGATGGAGCTAATTATGAAAAACCCATCGCACGAAAGTCGAATTCACAGATCTTCCTCGTTGTTCAGGCGATAATTTTCGTTGTCGACAGCGCTGACGTTGATCGCATGGAAGAAGCTCGCAATGAAATTCATTCTCTTGTAGCGGACGCTGAGCTGCATGGTTGGTCCTTAGCTTTACTTTTTAGATAGAGAAAGATATGTTGTATGTATTTGTGTAGGTTGTGCGTGCGTGTGTGTTATATGTTGTGACCAATCTACAACAGTGGTTCCCCTTAATCTGAAGCAGGGTGACGGGGAAAGGTATCAACAGATAGGGCTGATCAGTGGTCATAGAAGGCAAGAGTCAGTGAGTTCATTACCATTAGGTTAACCTCAAAGCTACAGTGGAGCGGTGACCCTCTGGTGGGTGATAAGGAATATGACGGATCCGTTTCTAGTTGGCGAGAGGAACTGGTAACGAATGATACGAGCGAATAGAGTGCATTTAAATGTTAGAGCCACTTATGTAAGACTCTGTTAAGGCATGATATGAATTGATATAGCTGACAAATATAGGGAACCTTGCAAGACAGGAGCTGTTTATACTGAATTCCTTGCCCCTATCCAATGTAGGATATAGCTTTGGCTTCCTCGTTTGGCTCATACTATATGAAAGGGTGTGAAAGTAAGTTTAAAAAGCGTCTATACCAATGACAAATATTGAACACCATGAGAGTATAACACGATTTGTTTTTTCCTTGGTTTTGCAATAAATAAATACCGCTACGTAGCTATGTTCACCAATCTACCTAGGATAATGTTTTCTCTTTGTGACTGGGATGGATGCGGAAGACGTGGGTGGTGATCGGTTGTAATGCAACGGTTGAAAGGTGGTTCAGTGATATATTTATTGAACGATGAGAGAAAGACACATGGGCGATTGGACCGTACCCTACGCTACGCAAAGTTACAAGGGAGACCCAAGACCTATCGTCGGCGACGTTTCGGCCGATACCAAATGTGAAAAAATTATCCCAGAACCGTCTAACTCGAGAATTTCCAAGAAATGTGGGAAGTGTTATTCTGCTATCAGAAATGACTCACTTGTTTTGAAAAAAAAAAACGAACGAAGAATTAAACAAGTATTTCGACTGCTCATAAATAATAAAATTTTTCAAAAAAAAAAAAAAAAAAATAAAGCACAAGTATGGGGGTTCGAGTCCCGTTCGCTAATCTTGTGAGACAGAAGTTTTTATCAGAAGTAATCGTGTCGTCCGAGGCCTTTCTTGCCTTTACCTATTTAAATAAGATATGTGAGTACCTAAGTTAACTTGTCTTGAAGATGCTGTGCTGTTGGTGTTCGCAAATAAACAGGATATGCCAAATGCAATGAGTGCTACAGAAGTTTCGAAGGCTCTCGATATGCACTGTATAATGAACAGAGAGGTAGGATTTACTACAAATTTCCTCATTGAGTGATCATATTACTCAGAATATTGTACACCTTGGTGAATTGGCCCAAAAAGGTGAACAGTAACGTTGTATCATTCCTTCTCAGAATACCTAACATTCAAAAAAAGATAATCATCTAAGATGTATTGGCCCTTTCGTAACCAACTTCAGATGTTGAGATGGTAAGAAATCGTTACATAGAACCTTTGCTTGAAAACACTTTGAAACTTGAGAACACCGAGTAAATGCTTACAGTAGTCATCAAAGATTTTTGATTGAGAGGATCGGACAAGGAGCAATCAACGATGCCCACAATAAACCAGCCATGGACTAAGCCGTGCCAGAGATATTTTACGATTTTTTACCTGGACAGTCAGAAGGACCGGCAGATATCTACTTTTCTTGCCAGAAGATTGTGTTCCTGATTGAGAACGAAGTCCGCAAGGCACAGCCGACTCATGATCCAAAATATCACCACCTATTTCTCCGATGTAATCGACCTACAGTTTGGGTTTTTTACATGCAAAAGACCTTCCAACTTGACAAGTTCGCTGCCCGACACTCTTCCGGGCTAGGGGGTCGATAAAGGGGAGAATGACAGTTTTTTCAAGAACTAGGATCATTCACTATTCAAGATCCCCACCCCTCCAACCCCAAAAAAGGGTTGCGGCGTGCCAAATACCATAGGCCTTTTCACGCTCGACGGCGATGCCAATCTTCACCTAATGATGACGACGGCAATGATGGAGTAATCCCTTGGTTTATCCTAGGGTACCCTTATAGGGGAAGGACCCCACATGAATGACTAGTTTGGTGTAACTTCTACGGTTAGACATGCTTTCGGAATATAATCTCAAATTCGCCTAACGATTTCTTGAGCGGAGTTATGAAATGATTTGGAGTACATGCCTAATAATTGAACATAAGGGAAAAATTCTTGTGTTGATTTTATCGAATTCCACCACTTTTCTAGCTGATGTTTGAGATACTTCGGTATGTGGCTGGAATGTCATTAATGACACATTCTCTCTGCTCGCTCACAGTAAGATAGCTTTTTACACTTTAAGAACATAAGTTGTATTCTAACAAAAAAAAAACATTTGGAACGGTGAGAAAGTAACCCGACGTACCACCCTTTCTTCTCTATCCAGGCCTCTCAGAGATAATGCTGAAAGGGTTGGCATTTTTTACACACGTTCACTGTGAAAAAGCTTATCTGAGCGAGCAAAGAGCTGTGGCTGTGCTTGGTTAGGTCATACTAGAAATAAAAATATATAAAAACCGTACAATGACATAAAATCTATATGGAAGACTGGATGCAGGAAGCCTTTTGGAATGCAAAAAGTTGAATAGAATGCCTACGAGCCATCAAGCTTAATCACTACCTCACCCAGGCCACTGAGGAGAAAACAGCGACATCAACGTCTTTTACGTTCCCCAGTCGAGCGCTTACTTAAAAAAACACTTCCATAACACCAATAATAGAATCGTTCTGCAAGTTTGGAAAGCATATTCGAAATCAGCATCACAAAAAAACTTCTGGCAATATACCTTATTTCCTTATGTTGACTTATTATTCTTTCCTTTCTTAACTATTTTACGTATAAACCATTTTGCGTTATTATGTGCGACGAAAAATTAAGTTGTTTAGGTGGGCCAAAAAGACTGTATCAACAAATTAGGTTTAGTGGTACGTGCAGACGTCGAATGCCATCACTGGCGAAGGCCTGGTGGAAGGGCTTGAATGGCTACATTCTGTGGTCGTCAACAAATAACGGTGCGCAATGTCATACTCATAGCAAAAGTTGGAAGCTTCACACATTTTTAATAAAATGTTTATCAAACTTGTATCAAATCAACAACTATGCAGACCTTAAAGATCAAATAACTCGACCTGAACGAGTTTCAAGACGAGTGCAATAAGAAGTTATAAGTAACTTGTACAATAAGTAAACAAACCCGGTCACATGATTTTAAGTAAACAAACTGAATGTCCCATGGAAAAAACTTCCTGAATTATGCAAGAAGGGAATTGTTTGTTGTGACTTTGAAAAATGAAGTACCACTCGTCGTCAGCACCACTTCTGGTACAATAAAAACATGGACGGAATTGGAAACGAATCTGGAAAAAATCCATTCCACGAAATGCTACCCGTTTAGTATTCGCGTTGTTCAAGAAACTGTGCATTGTTTAAAGACACGGTTCACGATAAAAATGTTTTCTGATGTCTCTCCCTAAGATGATCAGTGATCCTGAAGAATAGCACAAGATACGCTATTTTGTCGAAAAACGGCTTAGACAGGGCGTAATACGGGCTTAGTCAACGTACACATCCAAGGCTTACGAGTTTTTAAAGGATAAAGGATAAAGTTTTTGGCGTTAATCAAACCCATCTGAGGGATGCGCCCCAACAGTCGAGTTCTATTCTGAATCGTAGTGGCGTAATGAGTGCGTATGTGGCCTTTACAATGATTTGCGGTGGCCAGCCGATGTACAAGACAGTGTTTTTATCTTCCCAGACGAATCTGGTTCCAATTCACCGACCCCGGAGGGATGGAAGGCTTGATTGGCCTAGGCGGGCATCGATCCGGGATTCGAACCCCTCACCGTGCATGAGAGATAGTGCGCCACTTCCCACTACACTACTTCCGCCCTACAAGGTTTATCCTTTACGAGTTCCTAAGTGTTGTAAAAGCTGTATAGATCGCACCATTCGCATCGGGTCCCAAACGTTGCGCGCAGCTTAGTGTAGCGAGCTGTACGCACTGTCACACACCTTTTCACAGCTCGTCTAGGGCTCAATCCTTTGTTGAATACCTTTTCGAGACTTAAATTTCTCCAAATAGCTCAATTTCCGCGTTTTCTCCTCCACTTCTGCACTATTCTGAACTATAACCTCCATTTTTGTCTAACACTCGATCACCAAAATTATCGTGAACTGTGTTGTCCATACCGTGAACCCTTGATGAGAGAAGGTCAACTTACAAACATAATATAACTGTGGAGGCAAACCTGATGATCTGTTTATAAACTCCCGTTGCGAAATGCTGATCGAGGTATAGCCCGAAGCAGCGAGACACAAGAGCTCGCACAGCCACATCGCTCAATTCAGGTCCACTTGTGATGACCACGGAAGTACTAAATCGCATGTGTTAGATGCTAAATCTCACAATTACAATCGAAGAGGGTTCCATCATGAAACAAACAATGGACATTACAGGAACAAATCAGCAAATGAATAGGAACTCGCTGTTGGTTAATTCATCGCGCGCTCTATTTCATCTTGTGTCTCTTTCATCTTTCGCAGGCTGATTATAAAGTACACCCACACCCACGTACATGAGCAACCACTGTCCCAACATTTTATATTGTCGCCTGCACGAACCTCTTGTTCCGAGGAGGGAATCGCGACAGTACACTCTGAACCACGCTCTCCAAATAACCTGTCAAATGGGTATATGCACTGGAATTTTGGTTGAATATCAAGGTAAAAAAGGAGATGCTTAACTCCCCCTCCCTCTCCTCAAAGAAAAAACGAATAGAAAGAAATAATGCAAAGTGGTGAGTCATGTCTTTTCTTATAAAGTTCTACAGAAGCAGTAACGGCGGTTTTATCACAACAGGAAAAGTGGTGTCAGTTGGTGAGTAGAAGATTAGGAATAGTGGTCAGTGAGAACACGTACTTTTTAACGGTCACGAAAGTAGCAAAATTACATAAAACTACATACTCAATAAGAGAGCATTAGTTGCGAACCTGTTGGACGCAGAAATAACGTCAGCGAACTGCCTCTTCCACGCACCACATTCAACGGCACTTAGCGATAGTCTCGATGCTGCAACTATTTGGGATGCTACTGAATTGTCGTATGCCTCCTCGGATTGGTATTCGCGATTCAGAATTGTGTTTTCACGGCTGAATGCTCAGTAAAAAGATGACTCATTGTATTCATGAAGATCAGCCATACCTCACACTCCTTGGTCTCACAAATAGGGCATTAGACCACTTGGGATCACCCAAGCTAGAATGAGAGACAAAGATGCGGGACACATCGGGTACAAGCGAAGATGACGACGACATCAACCACCGTCCAGGTTTCGAGCAACACTCTATTGATAGCAAACTCATTGGAACATACAATATGAAACTTGTTCTATACTTGAAAAATTAGGTAAAACCAGAAGTCAAGCAACGATATACCAGAATTGTACTTGATTTCTTGTTCATATTTTTTTCTCGTAATTACATATGAATACAATGGAGGCTGGAATTCAATCCTATACACTTGCGACGGGTCTCCACTCGTGTCCACAAATCCTGAAATGTAGGGATTCATATCATAGAAGCTCGATCATAGTAATTAGTTGAAGGAAGTAATCGGAAACTACCACTGGGATTGAAAGTTTGCACAACATCAATCGAATTATCAGCCAAGAGCACAGGCAATGTTTGAGAGAGATAGAACAGCCAATCAGGCGATAGTCGGATATCCTCCTCAATGACAGCTACAGATGTTGCAGATGGGAAAACAGCGAACGCGGCAGAAAGAGCCGACAGTATCAGAGCTGTAACTGGTCAGTTATTCGAATCAGAGATAGGAAGAACTTTGTTGTAGATACTAACAATTGTAACCGTCTGATGCATTCATTGGCAAAGACTTTACATGAAACAGCGAAGAGAGGTCGGCGTTCTCTGGATATTCCTGAATTCCTTTCATTAGAAACAAAGATGGAAAGTCATAACTTGTTAAGCCTTCCAAACCTTGTCATACACAACAATTATCATTTGCGTATTTAAGCCCTCCTGCTCCATTAACGATTCCAGACACACACGCAATGAATCGGTTGACAATCCTATGCGAGAAATTTTACAAAAAGAATTCAGGAGCAGTTATCAGCAAAGATACCAGCTGCAACTACAATGGGCATATTGAATACAGGATCCCCGATACGGTCACGGTCTGACAACGCTTTTGGACTGATGAGGTCATCAATGCGGCTTTCTGTAATCAAGACATTTAAGCATAAATATCGTCTATATTAATATCTTCACCTGTGTAGGGTAGCAAAACGTACCGCTGCAGAATTCTCCGTGTCGGTCGTGTTTGAGGCAGAAATGACGGCGAGGAAGATTAAGAGGACGTGTAGACGCCTCACCTCCCTTCCTGTTCGATGATCTACCACGCCAGGTGTCAACTGAAACTAGTGTTTAACACTTCTCATCTGAATGCAGACACTGTCGTAACTTTCATATAAGTTTGAGATAGGATCAATGTCGAAGGACTAAAAGGCGTGAATGGGATGAGTAGCTCCAAGGATGATTATTTGCTTCCAACATGGTTGAGACATGAATGTAGCCATAATAAACACCATGACTTCCCTAGTGGTATCCTAATATTTTCCATTTAGTAGTGAAAGATTCGAAAACATGTTTTTGGCAACTTACGCTTCTTAGGAAGACATAGTGAAGTCTTGATCGGTTTCGCCCAGCTATTGCCAGATGGGATATTCAGATCTTCGAAAGGACTATACGCTGCTAATCCTTTATGACCAATGAAGTACCTTTGAAAGTTTCACTTTCAGTATCTGACATGAACGGCGATACATGTACTTACCACGAAGCCCGGAATTTGAGACGATGGATCATGCTCGATCCCATTTCATAGAAAATTCTTTTTGCCATGTCTGACAACCTGGAAACATTGGAATTAAACAGAAATTTCAAATGGGAAAAATCCAGAAACATTCAGATTAAACTCTACATATTAGATGCTTCGTCAAAGCTCACGACGGCCATAACTTCTCCCAGTGGTACGTTTTCTAACCACTCCTCGAGAGCCGATGATTCTGAAAGCTACCTCCTCATTTCTTTTATTGTCACTTCCTCATTACGCCAACTTCAATTTCGTTAGAATTCGAGTCCAGAAGGCCAAATCGAGTTTTGTCGGTTTGAGATCGCTTTAGCTCTGCCGTGTTACAATTAGTAATGAGCTGAGGAAAAGGCTCGCAAAACACCCCTCTGAATAAAGAATGGCACCCATACACAACAATACATATTGCTGACTAATCAACAGCTAATCAGATTCCAGTTTTGCGTAATGAGCAAAGAAGGACAAGATCCAGCACACAATCGCTGATCGCTCTGATTTTATCACTGATTAATTAGATCATATTGGCTAGGCGCGGTTCTGTAGAGATTGAATTGAAACGGCATTTCTTAGCACAAACATTGGCCTATACTTTCAATCATACGGCTACAGGTGAAGACGGACTTTTTTCTATTTTTGTACCTCCAACCAAGGTGGCACGTCTTGAACCAGACATGGATATTTACGCAATAGGCCAAGAGCGTAGAAAATTATATGTCTTAGACAGTGCACTAGTCTGTTCTATCTACTTTTTTCGAACACTGAGCAACTCTACAACATACCGTCTTGATAAGTATCGAAATGCGCAACGGATGATACGCGACCAGTTTTTGGCTCAATGGATACCAGGTTCAGACCGCGTCCTGCACCGTTCAAGTCGTGGTCGAAAACCATGCGTCCACCCACACATAAACGGGGGAAATCGTCTTTGTGCTCACCAGTGAAGAAATGCATAGAAATCTCATCTGAAATGACGAGTGTATCACAGCCTTCTTCACAATTAGTACACAAATGAAGTCGCAGCTCTGAGTGTATGATGTGGTCAAGTGCTTACCTGGACCACAAGGTGTAGTCATCCCACACCACTTCCATTCTTTTCCGAGTTTCACATTTTGGTCGGCATTTCTGAAGTCCCCGCCGAGTGCTGCCATTTTCTCGGGATCGATCCTCAAAAGAGCGATATAAACAACCATTGCAAAACACGGTGCTCACGTAATGCGTATGCTGCTATGTACCCAACACCGCCTTGATTCAAGGCACGTTGGATTATCTGAATTCCATGCTTCTTCGACTGCTTGGAGAACAGTTTGAGAACACAAAATATCTGGTCATCTTGAGGGCACTTATTATTCATAAAGGCTGGCTCAATTCTTGCAAAAATTTAAGAAGCAGAACAAAAAGCAATTTAAAAATTACGTTTTATAGCGTGCAGTTAAAATAAATGTGTTCAATGTTTCACCGCTACTTTGTGCACTCTTTGATTAAAATCAGCCGGAAAACCGAATTAAGGGTAGGCCGCCACAATGCCAATGAACCTTACATGTTTGCAACGATGCCACTACACTATAAAAACAGTGTTACTAACATTTTCCTCCCAGAAAGTACATCAATAATAACAATAAAGACCCTACCATGTTGCAGTCTACCTGCTCATCACATTGGAAGGTCAGAAACAATTTTACGTTATCCCCCTCCGAAATTTGTATGACAAAACAACATAAGGATAAAGTTTTGGCGTTAATCATTCCCGCACTCGACTTCCATTCAGAATCGTAGTGGCGTATTGAGCGCGTATGTGGCCTATACAATGGCTTGCGGTGGCCAGCCGATGTACAAGTAAGTGCTTTATCCTCCCAGACGTGTCTGATACCAATTCACCGACTCCGGAGGGATGGAAGGCTTGGTTGGCCTAGGCGGGCATAGATCCGGGACTCGAACTCCTGACCGTGCGTGTGATATAGTGCGCCGCTTGCCACTACACCATCTCCGCCCTTACATAACTGACAAAACAACTATGCTCGAAAACTTTTACCATGCGACTACCTTGCTCATGAGTTATTCCTTACGAGCGTATTCAAGATACTGACTTAAGTACGGTACAGGACAGGTGAAAAATAAGCTCCTTTAAATCTGCATTATTACCAACCTCTGTATATCAGACAGCTCTTGTGTCATGTTTATGGTACGAACATCTCCAAGGGGCACATCGAAACAGCCTTCAATTGCATGTATGGCATGCCCGAATGACTGTGGGACCACCTGAAAGATCGTTACGTAGCTATACTACAGTCAATTCAGATGGTATAACTTTTGAGACTTTTCTGGCATGCGAATGCGACGTTTTGGATAGGTTCCTGACAGGTGTGAAATAAGCTTAGGTTCCTTTCAATATCAGCTTGCCGCAAGGTTTAGGTTAATTTGACCGCACCTCTTTCCGAATACACATGGCGGAGATTTTTAAAAGTTCCGAGAAGATTTGGGATGCTCAAACTGAAAAACTTGTATATAAGTGGCAAAACTACGTTTCTGCAAAACTTGTCCAAATAGAACCCATTTTTGTTTTGTATTCTGTTGGAGGAGATGGCATAAATCATCTTGGTAAAGAGCAGCCAAAAGGAACAAGTAGTAGAGAAAAAACTGCAGAATCGGAAGGCACAATGCGCTTTTATCAAGTGCAACTCCATGGAAACAGCGGAAAAGCAGGGAAAAGAGTAGACTAGAGAACAGTTTGGAGTCGAAATAGAGGAGAGCGATACCAAGCAAGTCAATTTCTATTGCAAAATTAATTGCTTTTTGCAAAAAATTAGACGGACGAAAAAAGCCTCCATTGCAAACTACATTAAACCTCCACCGCGATTTCGCGGCATAATGTTTCAAGCGGCCACAATGGAACACTGGCAGGTCAATATAATTGCGACATCATCGGCTTGGCAAAAAACAAGCATCTGCTCTCAGGAAGTTTTTGGTGATAGACAAGTGGATAGTGACAAAACCGAAGTAAAGATGTGATGATTTCATAGATGTCGATGAAAGGGAATGAATGATTTTTCCTTTCCTTGCAAAAAAGGCATATGGCTTCCGTAGCTACTAGAAGAAGAGCACATTAACACAACACAACACAACACATATACACAAAGTGCAAAATGATGCGAACATTTTGTTTGACCTGATCTAAACAACCAGCGATAACTTCATCAGTGATACTTCCAGAAAGTAGAAGAACAATTACCTTTCATTTAATAAAATCATATATCAAAAAAGAACCAGAACTTACTCCTAAAATTATAGAGCAAGCTAAAAACAAGTCTAGGCAATTACTTAACCAACTTACAACTTCATAGGCATGTTGCTGTAGACCATGTTGACCCAGTATTGCATATGAAGAGGATCCCCTCCAGTCAGCAACTTTCACCGCACCAAATGATGCCAGTGCCGCGCGAGCATCTGCAGAAACCCGTTCGGCAACATCTCCGAAAGAAACTCCCACGATAAGTGAAGAAGGTGGCAGCGACCTAGACCATATTAATACATATAAGGTTCAAATTTCTCACAATGGATATAGAAAAGCAGGGGAACACCTTAACCAACTAATCAGCTCGCCATCTGAAGCTGCCACGTCGAACGAAGCAGATAACTCGACATCCCCCGTAGAACCGTTCAAAGAAACAAGGTTGAGACCTTTCTTGATGTGTTGCCCATCAAAGAACCTTGAAGTGCACATGATAAAAGGAACAAAATCCTGAAGAAAAAAACATACTTTATGTCATTCAGGCAAGCAAATGGAGGAGAATTCGCTGTTTCTGCGTGTAGACGAAAGAGAATTCGAGGAGAAGAGCACGACGGATCGTAGGAACAACTGTCTAAAATGAATAGAGTGTTTTTATAAAGCATTGACCAATGTGACAAAGAATAAAAGTGAAGACGTCGCAGGAGTGATAGTCTTCATAAAAAGCATTGATGTGGCAAAGAATAAAAGTGAAGGCGAAAGGTGCAAATCGACACCACGAGGTCGAAGATTGGCCACTCCAATCGTGTCGAATTCATTTTTAAGACGTTTCAGCATGCTTGCTCAATTCCTCTTTACATAGAATACATTTTGTGCTTTGTTCCCGTCATTATTATGAGATTCAGAAGCTAATTGAAGAGCGGGAATCAAACGCAATCATGAAATTAAGTGTAAGAAATTGAGAAGAAACATGAAAACGCCTCAGAGGAAGTATTGCCGTAGTCAACGCAATCTAACAAGCAATCCATGCAAAGCTGTAATCAGTTAATTTTTGAAAAATAGCGCACCACAGTAGACATACTTGAGCGCCTTGTGAAAATTTGATACAATAATGAGCCCCGAGCCAACGACTTTATGATATCAATCGGCGCCGACGCCTTTCACTTTTGGTCCAGTGGCCAGTTTAAAGTATAAAGACATTCAAAAGCGCAGCATACCATCATGCACGGCCGAGGGTCCCTTAGTTTCATGAATCTCAGCAGACGAAGCAGCAGCGGAGTTAGTTTTTTCTAAAACTACAAGATTGAAAAAAAGATCATTCTGAACAGTAGCAAACTAGAAATCAGCTTACGAAAAAAAAAAAAGAAATCAATTTTCTTACCACGTTCGCTAGAAGCGTCTTTCCTGAAGAAAGTCAAATTCCCAACAAAGAAGAGTGAGCATAATGCAACCATGGCAAGAACAGCTCGACGATAAAGCCGCATGATGATGCTGTTCCCATCCTATTCGTACATGGCCTTCTGGAAATTGTGCTCAAATTTTTCAACAACTAAGTCCTGCCAAACAATTTGTACAAAAGACTTTAAGAAAGCAACTTCGTACCACGGCATCTTGACACTATCAGACGCTATCAATACCAAGTGAAAGTGAGATAGAGTTGTTGAAAATGCAGCGAACGAACAATAAATGAATGCAGTTTGAAAGGCCATGCAGGACTTTATTGAAACACGTTCCCACATAAACGGAACAGATTAATCAGTGAGGTAAAATCGCGAACCACTCGCTGCTCCCCACTGAATTGCATTCACCACTTTCTAAGCGCTGTTAAAGGCAATGCTTCTTAACTCCTGCCACTACCTACCATTTATTGTTAATCTCCGAACAGCAATGGAACCAAACACAGAACAATCATAAGAAATCGAGTCCGTTAACCCTGAGATGCGCACGCACGTGTCGCGAACACCTTTCTGAAACCACTTACTGAAAAGCTTGGAGGAAATCTCAGGTTCTGTTCTCGTAGAGAGACATCAGAGAGGGAAGCGGTCGCTTGATGCAGTCCTCTTCAGAAGCGCGAGTCAATCTGGTGTTTGACTACTATCAGACTTCAACGACGCGACCGACGACCGTCTGTGCGTGCATCCGATCGACGGCAGCGCTAGGTACTTGTTGACAACACTAGCATGTGATCCATCGGCGTCCAGTGTTGTCAACAAGTGGCTAGCGCCGCCGGCAGTCGGACGCACACACGGACGACGGTCGGTTGCGTCGTTGAAGTCTGAGAGCAGCCTCTGGGCTCTACTCCAAAACTTTCCTTCATCAAAAGGGGGTATTGAGAAACATAAAATGTGGGAAGAACTACATTCAACCTCAGAATCATTAGTTCGAGGTAATACGAGAAAAATGCAGGAATGAATGTTGAACTCCAAAATAAAGATGGCTAGAATCGTTACCAGCTGACTAGCTAAGTATACTTAGAACTCCGCGAAAGTAAGTAATGGAGGTTCTGTTGTACTTTCAACGAACAACATGCGAAGAGAACTCAAATGGATCAGTCATTCACAATGGATAGCGAGAAAAGCGCGTTTTACGCTTACTGCCTTCTACCTAGTCCAAGAATAGAAGTAAATGTTGAACTATCAGGATTGATGCTATATCGAACTCTGTCTTGATAGTGCTTTCATAGGTCATTCAAACAAGTGTGCATGATAAAGCATAAGGGAACCGACATGAATTTTGCAGGGTCAAACCGAAAAGTGGAGGGTGAGAGTCATCACTGAGGCAACTGAAGTTCCCTTCCAATTGCGATTTCAAGCGTGCGCAACGCACTAATCCCTTTCAATCCTGCCAGCCTACTTATAAGTAAGCGGTCTATGCGATGCCATAACCTTCGATTAGATTCGACTCCAGAGCACTACTTTTGAAGGTTTCCGAGATATCAACATAACCAACAACCTTTGGTTTTTGAAGTACAGGACAAATTACCCGTGATTCAAAGCAGTTGTATTATTATCAAAGTTTTCTTCATAACAACAGTACAATTTGTAACCATTGAAATACTTCTACAATATAAGCTAGCTTCGAGCAAATGAATTAAAGTAACAGAAAGATCAAAACATGCTGTATCTTCAACACCGGCATTGCAACACAATAAGAAATCTCAAAGAAAACATCAAGTGACATCAAAAAAAAAAAAAAAAAAAAAAACAAAAACAAAACAAAAGATCAAAACACTTCTGTATTCAGCTTGCCGAGATTATAATAATTACGTGGTTTTAGAAGTGAAATTCGTATGAACCGGAAACTAGAAGCCATGCCATTATGATGCTTTTTAGCATAACTGTACTATTCTTAACCATCACTTCCACAACAAGCTACCTTCAACGCAAAAAACTGAACAGCTATTCATTCTACACTAGCAATGAGACGCGATGAGAAATTTCAAAAGAAAACATAAACAGGCAAAACACAGGTATTAGAAACTATTACTAGTGACTTATGTGCATACCTGTAGACTGTCATTCAACTAGAAAAACTTCTGCTCAAGAGTTGCAATGGATGCTCAAAATACGCCATGAGAACAACTAACGCAGAGTAGATTTCTTAGGACAATTTCTGGGAGTACCTACGGAATTCTCATGGTAATCGCAACAAACTTTGAAATGCTTAAGGAAAACTTGGCATAACGCGGAACCCAGTGTTCAATCAAGTCCTAATTCGCTTGCGCCAGCGATCTTTACCACCAGGTGGTCCATTTTCGGGGGAATTCGCTGAAAAAATGGGCCACAACACCCTGTATGCCACGAAACTCCGCAGCATAGCATAGCTTAGTACTAGCAGCTCACTGACTTGAGAAATTCACAAAAAGGGCAAAGCTAGTAGCGGTGGTACAAGTCGCAAGGAGCTAGCAAATTTGAGACTAGCTTCGGAAGGCTGAAACTCATATATTCGAATACAAAGCGAGTCCAGAAACAAAGTATTACTAAGATCTTGTCGTTATATGAAATGACCTTCTGCAGGCAGGGAAAAGGAATAGGCTATAGGGGCAGTGTACTCAATTCCCTTATGCAACTAATTCAACGCTGAAAATGCGGATATAGGGGGACGGCAAATTTTTCGGGTTTCCGTGTTTGCTTTAAACAATTCCCCTACCACTGACGCACCCTTCAGCACGGGCGCTTCAGCTCTTCTATTGCTTAATCTAAAATACTGCTATTCCTACCTGTGCCTCTAGAGTCATAACACTTTTGAATTCGAGTCTAAGGTAGTCTAATCAGCAGCCAGTATTGTATTGATGAAAGCACGCACCGTGATCATGATACAGCAGCTAGGTCACTCATCGACGTTTGCCACGCGCACAGGATTCCTGATGGAGACTCATGCGGTATTGAGCAGAGCTTCGAGCAGTAATAGCTTTCTATCAATAATGAACGACAGATAAGTGGTTGTGCTTGAGGAATTCAAAAGGCACAGCAATAGAGTATAGATAGGTAGATATGATATGGTAAGAGTTATCACACCACAACAACAGAAAATGAGATCCATCAGGTTTTAGATCGTAAAGATGGAATTTTGTAATCCGTTTGTGGTGGCACAATGATGCGATAGACATATAGCCCACCATTGGTTTCGGCACGAGCACAAGCTCCGATGAATCCATTCCGGTTGACCCAAATTCCACCTACAATTTCACCATCTCATCTTTGAAAACTATCGTCAACAATAATAAGAACATCTCAAAAAAAAAAAAAAAAAACTGACTGATGTAAGGAAGGCCACCACTCACAACCTTGATGGAATGCAGAAATATCCCGTGACTGGTGAACACCTACAATACTTTAGAATATTAGAGTACCGATACGCGTACTAGTTGTGAACATCTACCATTGTTTAGACATACTCTTAAATGGTTCTCATAAAACATGCAGCTTTGGCTGCCACAAACTGTTACAGTGAGGGTTGCAAAATCTAATACAAGTAGACACTTAGACCTCTTTTTCATGACCTCCGACGGATTCAACAGCAGTAGCTTAATTGAGTAAGGACGAAGAAGACTACCCCCAAATCGCAGCTTATGGTTAATAGCATTATGAAAGACTTAAATGCATGACTAAAAATTCGATGAGATAGTAAATATTAGGACGATGCATTGAGGTGCTCCGCCACTGCTAAAAACAGTTCACTTCACAAACCATTTACATTTTTAGTGCTAGACCTCACCTGTAATGAGCGACCCTTTGCATCAGCAACAAGGATATTCTCATCATCATCAATGAATACGCCGCTGATGTACTTAATTTCGATGTGACCACGACTGAAAACTATTTCTTCCAACGAGGAAAAAAACTCTGACTACAGCAATAAACACAAAAAATAAAGAGAAACTTCTTAGGGCCCGTTCCCAAAAAGACACGCTCCTCGAACTTCAATTTGTCTGTCTTAGCTTCAATAGAAAATCGAACTATAGACTGCGCTCCTGGAAAAATCACGACTGCATGCATATGGATGGACTTTTACAAACTTGCAAATATTTTCGAGTTTTTGGCTTGAATAAAATGAAGCAAAACATACCCAAATCGGTGATGATGAGAAGATCACGATATACGTCAAGGAACGACGGCAGCCCATTCTCGATGTTCGGATAAGGAGCGCTGTTCACAAGCTTTAAAAACAGGATCGAGTTCGCACCAAACAGTTTGAAAACTGACAATACCACCGAAAAATGTAGGCCTCTGAGCAACTTGTAGCAATGCTATAACTCCGCCTTATAGAACGGAATTTCAGATCTCCATATCCCCCCAAAAACTAAAAGCTGCAGCAATGGTGAAAAATGTCAAAATGAATATTTGAAAAAAGGCAAACATAAGGGAGTGCTAAAATCAATTTAACTAGAATAGAAGATGGCTCGTCTTGGCGATTCAAACCTGGAGAACCACCGTTTCCAACTCCGCTGTAGCTCATCAAAACTTTCAGGCTAGTGGAAAGTTAAATGTATGCTTTTCATTGCAAAAATCTTCGCCAAAGTAAGGGTTAATGAAGAGATGCATGTAAATTGGGGACAAATGACATGAATAGCCAGTCGTCGTTAATTCAAAGAAGGGGAAGGAGGGAGGGGGTGTGAGCTGCTTTCTGAAACGATATACCTAAACTAACGGCTTTCTTGAATCGATGGTGCTAACTGAACTTCGATCACCCCCAGTCGGGTCATAATGTCAATCGCGCTAAATGTAAAGCGCTGCCAAAACATGTTCTGCTTAGATAGCCTACAATCTGTGTTTCATTTCAATCGAAACGTTGGGACATAAAAAAGGTTTGTTCCTCACTAATCACTTGCATTTAGAAGAGCCAAAGCAAACAACATGAAACGGTATCATTGTTTGAGAACAGCTCATCAAGTCTTATTCGCCACTGGCAGTCGCCTGTGGCGACAGGGATTCTTTCCGCTTCAACGGAGGATATGGTGAGTATTTCAGACAGTGGGTCGTTTTTTGCTTGAGAGATCAAACACTATCGTAGACTGTAAAATATCTCGAATTGCGTTAAGGTATCTGAGGACCACGATTACGTAGAAAAGTTGGGCCTTCAAACTAATAAAACGTTCTACCTAAGAACCTCGAACGGTAGAAGAATTTCAACAACTACAAATCTCTCGTGTTATATGTGTGTAAAACGACTTGTCTAGGATGGAACTCATACTTGCATATATGTTACTAGGGCACCGCGATCTTATCTTCTATTACATATCTCTCGCGTTGAGCTTTCGATCGTTTCTCAGCCGTAGCTGATCAGTGCTCGTCGATAAAAAACGATGAGCTAGTTGGCAAATATGAGCCTTTAATATGAGGCAGAAAGCCTCGATACTACTTGATCTGGCTTGTTTCCCAATTGCTATTTTCTATGTGAGAATAAAGACATAAAATGGTGCACGCGGTATCTAAATAGAAGGGTGTTCAAGGTGAGAAGTTAGCTACTTTTTCTTGAAGAGCAAAAACCACGAGTAATATCAAAACAAGAGAACGCTTAGAAAGTTTCATATTCGAGGACCAACGAGCTTATCAGACTATAGAGATAATCAACATACCCTAGCCTTAGGTTTCCCTTCATAGACGCAAATATTCCAGAATCCTTTTATTTTCTCCAATATCAAGAAGTTTCCACGCGGAGTAAGTGCTAAGCCTGAAAATGGTGGCAGTGATGCAGGTTTCAGAAGCCCGTTAGCAAAGGCAAGATTGGGAATCTAGAGACGAAGGACGAAATTGAAGGAAATGCTCTGAAGTTGCACTTTTGAGGAAGTACGGGGCCAATGAGAAGGGCCGAAAACAATGTCTGATAATTTTCCCTAATCGCAGTGCCAGTGTCGGAGCAATAAACTCTACTCGTGAAGCAAACGAAAGCAGCTCATCCCAGCCTTCCCAGAGATGTCGCAGGTTGAACATTCCTCGACTATACTCATGATTTGCGATTTTTCACGTCCAATTGTAGGAATATTATCATGGTAGTATAATATAGTGGGATAGAACAAAACAGATGGAATCATGGTCAACGTTTGGCTCGCAAGAATAACAATAAAAAACGAAATTTTCGGAAATTTGGCTATCGTGTACTGTACGTCCTATTTCGCCTCAAAAGGGGAAGGGGTAGTTAAACGCCTCAACAATTTCATGACAAACCTCTCGCAGATCCGGAGTGTGTAATCACAACATCATATTCTTTCTTGTTGTGGTACATAATTCGTATGTCATATTTGGTCAAGACCACAAAAGAGTAGCCTGGCTCAAGAACGATAACCGCACATGGAGCTTGCATCGTTGGCGATGTCAGTACATTGCCACTGGGAGCTAATACCACCTTTGAAAAAAGCATGATCATGACTGACAACTCCGCATTCATTAGCAACGTCTAAGGCAACTCGATTAGACTGCGTCAAAAATTCGTGCGTATTTTTTGATTCTCTCCCCAAAGCCTTCGCTATTGTCTTTGCAGCCAGGCCATGGGTACAAGTAAATGCAGAAGTTGAGCAAAGTTGCCAGACCTTGATTGGCTGCTGCTTGCTTGCTTCAAGCTGCTGTTTCCTTTAAAAGTGGTAGTTGAACCTCACCTACGTAACGCTGTGTTGTACGAGTTCCGATTGAGGCCGCAACAAAGATGAAGCGGGTGCGCTTCGTTGCGCGTGTCCGTCGAAACTAGGTCACGCCGCAGCCGTCGCACGCGGCGAGTCGGCCAGCGATATTTGACAGACGTCGCAATTGTCACTGGGGCATACGTTTTGCGTTTGGTCCACGGCAGTCAGTTCAACAAGAAGATAACACAGACATGCAAATCATTTGCTCCAATGACACTTGGTGGTACCGTCATCTCGAGACCTCAGTGTGATGCGCCGCGGGCGAAGTGGGCGGCGTGACCTACTTTCGACGGACACGCGCAACGGACGTTCTCCAGATGAAGCCACTCTAACAACTGCTACACGCTAGCTCCTGATGCTGCCTCCCTCGCCCGGCGGTAAAAGGGCTTGAGCATTTTTGCTCGAGTGATTGTGACTTGGGAAACAAATCAGGGACTATTGTCGGAATTGAGCTACCTACGCCCACTGACTGAAGCGAATCTGTAAAAAACGACTCGCTCTCTAACAATCGAATTCTTTTGTGCCTATTGCTACATAGAGGTCTTCATCTTTTCAAAAAAGTTTGGCCTGCGGATTTCTCATCAGTTGACGTTTCAGCAGAGAACACACGGGAAATACCGCCTACAAGTTCTTACCCGCTCCTGCTAGCGAGCGACACCCACTTCCCTGCCAAACGGTTTGGCTGGATAAAGTTCTCATTAGAAATAAAAAGTGGTACCTCTGAGTCGATCCAGCGCCTGGAATGAACCAGCCGTGAGTTCGGAACAGTCTAGGAGAAAAATCACGCCGTACGTTTGGTGAGATTTTGGCGAAGTGTATCACAGAGAACACCCACTTCCCTACGCACCATTTGCGGGTGTTCTATTGCAGTCAAGTCAAGTACGAAATTTAGCGAAAAAGCTTTAGGTAACCTCTCCGGAACCGGAAACCCGTGTGACAATGTGCCTCGACAGCTCGACATCCAGAGACTTGAATAAAAACTTTTATCATGCCCTTCTAGACCTTGTCTGTCTGACCAAGTATTCTGCCCCTCAGCAGCCGTCTAGCGGGAAAGGAGTTCGATTCTCCGAAAGTCTGTAAAAAGGACCTAACAACATTTCCTAGCTAGAATCAGCATAACTTCTAAAGGCAAGGCATACACTCTCTGCATAGTCGTTGGTAACAAGTTGTTGGTAGTAATGGCACACTTATTGTGCACTGATATTACATTTTGTTGATAAAAAATTCAATGAAAAACTTGCACGAATTTTTGAGACAACCTAATATTCTGGCTACTTTGCCACCGTGAAAGAGTAGCCAGCGTTGAGAACTCAAAACATACCCGATCATTATCCGTATCTGCGACGATCCACTGCTCCAGAGCCTCGTCAAAAGTAACACCAAGCGGCCTATTAAGACGTTTCCCGTCACAATTTTTTGAGGGCGAACCCGTCAATGACGCTCTAATACCGTCTGAAAGTCTGGTTCAAAATACGTAGGTATTGGAATAAATTACCACAATATATCCCATTGTTACAAACTCAAAACTTCGATTTTTTCGTATAAACATTGCCTGTAAGAATAATTTGGTGCTTTTATAACTATTACGCCATTCTTTGTGGCAGCGAACTAAAGCAAAGTGCTGCAGACCCTCACAACACATTTCGAACAGGAACAGTCACACTTCCAGTCAAACGCTTCAACATATTTAATATCCAGAAAGATATCCATAGGTATTCTCTGTCGCGACAAAAACAGTGAATGTCCTTAAATGTGCCTGTTTTATCTTTTCTTCCCATACCCAAAGATGTTGCGAATAAACAGCTTTGGGTAGAGTGCTCGGAAGCTGCCAATCAAACCTCGAGGTTTACAAAATAAAAAAATAAGATGGCGATCTGTATTTTCAATGCATGAACGCTTGCATCGGAAGGTGTCCTAGGTGCCAGCTGAAAGATTATGAAAACAAGTAAAATTTGAACAGCACGTCAAAATGTACCGTACTGAGCTGAGATGGAAGGAACTCACTACTAGTTTGCAGATAACGACAGCCATCACACAAGGATAAACACTACACCTTTAGGTATCCATTTTGTTGTGGAAACTGTTTGGGACATTACTATCATAACCATCAAAAACTCAAGAGTAGATACCTGAGCAATACGGCAACAAAAAATTTTAACTAACCGTAAGGTCGGATGTATTCAGTTAAACGGATTCGTCCTTCATTTGGATAGCGAGCAGAGGACGCGACATTCCTTGAGTCGTCTACACATGCAACTTTGACGTCATCTTGAATCAAAGAGTGAGAAGTGAATTTACACTATTAATTTACTGTGAATAGAACGCTAGGCTTCTTGATTCTCAGGTATCTGCCTGGCGTATAATTCGGTATCATCTGAGGAGGCCGAACTAAGTTCAAAGCGTAAGCCAAGGGAAGCACAGCATTCTTAACGTACGTAGGAACTCAATCCGAGTGAACCTAAGCTAACCGCTGTTGCAATGCCAAGAAGGTGTCCTCCCATGCTGAAACCAGAGCAGCCCAAATACTGAAGATGTGCAAGCTGCTGATTAATTTGTTCCCAAAGCAGGCTAAATCCATAAAAACGGTGACCCTTTAATGAGTACTCTAGTACTAGCACTGAAGTATTATATGGACGATATAGGTAACTTGCTTCAGGAAACATGTACAGGTAAGAAAATACCATGACAAACACATCTTGTAACGGTCTACCTATTCACGAAATTCGCGGTCACCCTTCAAGTCTTACAGCTTCTAAATGACTGCTAAATCGCCTAGATGACGCCCGGCTCCAATCCATTTTCGCCAAGTACGAAACTTTGTTCAAACTTTTCTTATCCTTTAGCCCCATAAGTCATCCGTTAGTTCCGTGCTCTTAATCAATCACCATTGAGAAATGATTCTTTTCAACTAGTTGAGAGTGCCACTCTCACAGCACTTTGCCTTATCATATAGCAATTTTTACCAATCGTGTACTCATGAGGAACAAGCAACGTAATACCATTGCTTCTGCATTGACAGGTAGAAAATAATGAAATAATAAAAATAATAACAATCAATTGATCGAGTGAATGTGGAATGCTAGGCAGCTAAGGTTGATCCTATAAGAAGCTTGAACTGGAGCAAACAATTTTACTGACCTCGTTGCTTTTGTTTTTCCATCCCAGAGGTAGAACAATCAGCCGACTGAACCTTATTGGGGTTCGAGGGGTGAATCTTACTGGCGTTCGTACATATCTCTTTCACCTAAACAAATAAGTAGAAGATAGACATCTGATTTGGAAAGCGATGCTACAAAATCTGCACCTCTACAGGTCTTAATGGGCGCGCTTCTGCGACGCTATGTTTTACACAGCCACTTCCACTGTTAGAAAGCTTCTTTTTATCGGGAAGATCGGTAGGGTCGTGTCGGTTGGCCGACTCCTGAACCAACACTTTTAAGAATGTATTCTAGGATTTTGGCAAGGTACTAAAAATTAATCAAAGAAAACCCCAAAGCAACAATAACGAAAGTACACCTTAACGTCAAGCGAAATGTGGCTAAATTTATCCACTACTTCGTCGAGCTTTTCGTCATCATTACGCCTAATCCTGAACATTAGCCTCAACAAAACTAATACACATCACATGATTTTTCACTGAAATGAAGCTGAATGGTACCTCATGTCGGAAGCAACACCATGATCTGAGCGACCTTGTGTGCTACTGTTAGGCTTTACTGATGAGAGCGTTTCAGTGTGATCAGGCTCTGCTTCACTGTCGGATTCGGAGGGAGCGTCAACATTATCACTCATAGAACTGCTGGGCCTGTTCTAAAACTCATCTTATTACCGAAAGTTAAGATAAAGCTACACTCTATTTCCATACAAACGGCCGAGTAGTAAAATATTGCAGCAGGTATGCACATCCTCCGTGATAAACCTTTAATTTCCTTTTTCTGAGAATTTAGCTCAACACAAACGTTAGGCTTATCTACAAACACCTAAACGTATATATAAGATCACATCCCATTCAAATCCTTCAAGATGAAGGCAACTTATACTCTATTGAGTGACCTGAATGTATAGGCCTGAGAAAAAATGCACTCCGCTTCAATGAACAAAGTAATAGAGAGAAACAGTTATAGGCGTCACGACAGCTCGCGTACGTAGTGAAGGGAAAATCTTAAAAAGGCAGGTGCAAACAATTAGGAATAAATGATTTACGAAAATCTTGCCTGGTGCTCTGAATACGTGCTATACCCATGTCCACGACCTTCCCTCAAGGCATCCAGCCTTTTAGCGACCTCCATCAGCTGAATTAAGAGGAAGTCTATACCGAAATGAAGTCGTATGAAAAGTCAAGCGAACCCCTGCATAGATCGATTGAAGATCCTCTGCTGGGACATCTTTTTTGTGCGGGTACGTATTGAACAGGAAACGATAAAGGGGTGTTGGAAGTGGGTCGACGATTGTATCGTAATAAATCTAAAAAGGAAAGGTAAAAAATAGTTCTCTGTGTTAGCAAACCTGTCAGTTTAAACCATAATATACGATAAGTATTACAAGCCACCTCACACCATAGTCGGCGTAGCTACAATAATGAGTTCTTACTAAACAAAGACTTCATTCTCAGCTTAGAAAACACACCAAAGCTGGCCAGTTGTTAACTTCAACATATTAATAAGATTTATCATAATTTAGATGCTACATGATCATGATACACGAGGAGCTCCAATACAAGACATTTAGGCATTTTCTCGTCATTGCACTTGCTGTGCTGTAAATTTGTTAACTGTTTAGAAGTCACCACTAAAACCAGTTATGCATATTCTAGACTGGCTTGAAATTGGAAGGATAAATGACGGTGATGAAAGATCTCATTATCGCTGTTGAGACCAAGCTTTTGGCGTGTAATATGTAAGAAGCATACGCTTTTGAGAGAAGCTTTTCGAAGCTCAATGCCCCGACAACATTTGTTAACTTCCAATAATCCTCAGTTCCGTTTGCGTGTTGCATAAGCCTTTACCTGAACCCACGACTTGTAACCAAAGTGAAAAATGAACCAAAGTGTCGCTTATAACAGAAGTCAAAATCCTCAAGTAGCGACGAGAATATTATCGAAACGCTCGAGTTATTGTAATTTTTCTGTACAACATACGTATAAATTGCGGCCGCGAAAAAGAGTAAACGGGAAAGATAAAACGTTCGCTTTTGTGTGAGACTATACCGGCCCACCACAGCAGAAACTGTGCTAGTTTCGCAGCCGAAAACTGAACGGGAGAAAAGCAGAGGGGTTGCTTTGTTCTTTACTACCAGCTTTTCGATCTACTTTCCTCCAGCATATGTGACTAACACTTGACAGCTGAGCAATGCCAAGTAGACATTTTTAAGACTAAATGTAGTGGTAACCCTCGGAATGGAAGCAGCCTCAGACAATCCAGAACGGCTGATATCAACAATGCTACCAACATCCACCTATCGTGAATAAACTTTCATATTTTAACAACATTCCTTTCTAAACGAATGTAAGGACTTACCCGATGTTCAAAGTGGTTACTATTGCGGGAGCGAGCCACATTCCCTAACTTTGCGTATCGACGAACCGCAATGGTTACCTGAACAAAGTACAATGACAAAAATTCATCTCTAAAAGAAAAATTCAGACTCACCTCATTGAGAATACAGGCAACCTCCTCGTCCGTGAAGGTGCTCTCATCCAAGTACCGTTTAAAGACAAATTTGTACAAAAGACATGAAATCGGTGATTTGAGATGAGCCAGCGATAGGTGCATGTGAAACGTCTGAATGTACACTTTAATTACAGCGGACAAGCGTGAGCTATGCTACGCTTTTTACAGGAGCAAATTTACGGAGTCAGAGTAAACAACTGGAATCGAATGGATCCTACAGAAGACTGGAGATGGGTGAAAATTTGATTGGGAGGAGCAGGGGTGAGGGACATAACAGTGCCAATATCGCAGGAATAAACAGGATGTTTCGTGTCATCACGTTACAAAGACAAAAAGGAGATTTGGGCGCTTTCAACCAGGGAAATGTACTTTTGAAACTAGGTCTTATTTGAGGAGGAGCACCAGTGTGGGTGAGAAGATTACCTCATGCAAAAGCTGGAATGGATCAGGAATTCAACATTCGATTAACGCGCCCAGCAGTGCTCCTTCCCTTCTCGAGCCTAGGTATAAGGGACATTCTCCTTGTATAACACGGTAACACTGCGACAGATACTTGTTATATCAACACTTTTATGCGCCATTCCCCATCCAGCCCTACTAAACTTTCACCTGGAAATGAAACAAGTGAGGTAGGTTGAGTGAGAGCGGGGATGGACATAATTTCTTCTCTTTGGGAAATGACGTTGAACAGTAACAGAGAAAATTTGCAGTCAAGAAGGGGATCCAGTCACACCCTAGCGTACAATGAGCAGACAGAAATAAATTTTCAAAAACGTCGGGGGAAAATGAAGTCCCTTCAACTGAGCTCTCTCAGCGAGAAACCGTTCACTTCGTCAACTCCTCTCCCAATCTACATTTCTCGCAGAGGCAACAAAAGACCATATCTGAGAAACTCGAAGCGGAAGAACTCAGACGAACTGTCGCCTAAACCTACACCCTGAAGAAATGCCGGCCGAGTTTTTT